TCAGTTACTCAGTCGTGTCTGACTTTTTGTGACCCCATGGACTGTACCCCACCAGACTCCTCTGTACATGGAATTTTCCAGGCAAGAATACTGGAGTGGGTTATCATTTCCTACTCCAAGGGATCTTCCCAACCCAGGGATCAAACCCAAGTGTCCTGTGTCTCCTGCACTGGCAGATGAATTCTTTACCACTGTGCCACCTGGGAAGCTTTCTATTATGTTCCTTCAAAAATCATACTACAAGCTTAATGAATTCATTTTATCAGCCACATGATATTACTTACAATAGATGTTTACCATAATTGTCTTAACCTTTCATTCATTGATAGAAATTAGGTAGTCTATGAAAAATACTGATCAGAGTTTGATCTGCTTTTGTACTGGAGCTCTGAGAAATTCATTTTGTAGGCAGCTGTCTTTGTAAATTCAGTAGCTGGTCTCCTAGTCTCTCTATTCACTTCTGATTATTTATTTAAGGACTGATGCAGTACATCCACCCAAAAGCTTTGGGGGAAATTACAGATCTCACCTTTTCCTCTTTACTGAGGAATATGTATCCAGATGTCTCTTTTTTGTCAGTTGACTCTGCTGGAGTCAGTGTAGCATGGTGACTGGGAACACGTGCTTGAAATCAGATAAATATGGAATCGAATGATCTGTCCATCATTTTCTTGCTTAATGATTTATGGCCAATTATTTACACTTGTAAGTGCAACTTTCCAACTGTTTAAGTGAGAATGATGCCTTTTTGTGGTCCTTTTAGATATGATACGATATATAGTACATCACAGCAGCTGGCCCATGTTATTTGAACAATAAATATGTGGCTAAAAGATGATTGATAGTATAATTTTATTATCATTATTATTGACATGACCATCTAGGCACTTATCTTGAAACCACAAATCTTCCACTCATCCTCAAACTTTCTGATTTAATCCTGGGTATTTTTGAACATTCTTAGGCAGCAAGTACTGTCTTATCTGAGGATACAGGTAATGGGGGCATGTAATATAGTAATGTAATAGCATGTAATATAGGGAAGAATATGATCTTTGAAGCCAGGTAGACATGGGATCAAATCCCAGGGTCACGATATACTAGTGCTATAAGACTGGGCAAGTTTTATCACTGAGTCTCAATGCTCACCTCTCTAATGAGGATCTGAATACCTATGTTGAAACGTTTAGGGAAGAAGTAAAGAGTGTTTGAAAATCACCTGGTGCAAATCAAGTGCCAAATCAACGTGACTGTTTCTAGCCCTATCGTAGTCGTCCGGCCAAACTGGAAAGACAGGAAACTGGCCTCTGTCTCCAGCCTCTGCTCGTATTCTTCCTATATTTCCCCACTTTGTCTGAAGAGGTCAGTGCCCTTGTTCAGCCACCCAATCTGGCCCCCAAATGTGAACAGTTCACAGTCATTCTATCTCAGTGAATCCCTATGGCTCTCTCCCCCGGGATTACTTATTTCTAAACCTCATCTATAATTGGAACCTTAAAGTTTTTTTTTTTTTAATCTAACTGAAAGAATTTTGGGTACCAGCAGCCTGTGGAGGGTGGAATTCTGGGTAGAGATACAGAAAGTTCAATGTTGATCTGCAAATCACACTGCACAGGCATAACTCTGCATGTCCCCCAAGAAAAAACTGTCCCCCAAAATCTGAATCTCGAGAATATTACAGAGAGTACTGCATTGCTCATTTCTCACACTCCATGAAAATTTTGGGGTCGGGGTTGGGTCTGAGGTGCTAGAAATCTGGCCAGAAAAGCTTCTGCCTCTAGGACTAAGTAGCAAACTATCTTTAATCTGTTTCTGGGAGACTTAAAGGTAAACAATTCATAGATAAGCTAATCTGATATCTGATTCCCACATTATTGGTTCCTTTGCTATAATCTCTGAAATCACATCATTTGACATGGATTTTCAGCTACTGGATTAAGTTGGTTTGTTATTACACTGTTCCTTTCACTCAGCTGGGGGTGGGGAAGTGGTGGTACATGGTTTCCTTTGGAATCCAGTTGACAGAGTGATGGTGAGGCCAAGTCTTCATTATAAATGTGTCTTTGTTTCTAGACTCTCTGTTCCTCTCCACTGCCTTATTGCTCTGTGCTTCTGAAAGTATATCATTTGTTGTAACTGGTATAGCTTTATAATAAAGTTTGATAGGTTGTAATGAATTCTTACCTTCTCTTTTAAAAATATTTATAGAAATTTGGATAAGGAGATAAATATCTCATAGGCTATTTTAGAGACACTGAAAAAGATTAGAATTCCTTTTAAAAATTACATTTGACTTTTAGATTGTTCTTACTTGATTGTCACAATGTATAGGAAATAAATGACATGGGGCCCCTGAACGACTGGGATTAATCCTGGGTCTTGAACAAGACCTGATGTAAGTTTCTGGTTTTTTCCTTGTCCAACCTTTTAATAACCTGCTTGTTGTTCCCAAACCACTGTTTATTCTTCCCCCCTCACAGCTCACTCCTCACCCAATGCCCCAACAGTGGCAGCCCTATTGCTGATCTATTTCCTCCTTCACACTAGGATTTTGAAATGTATTTATTATTTTTTAATTGGAGGATAGTTGCTTTACAATGTTGTATTAGTTTCTGCTCTACAACAACGTGCATCACCTGTAAGCATACAGATAGCCCCTCCCTCCTGAGGCTCCTCCCACGCCCATTCCGTCTCTACAACAACGTGCATCACCTGTAAGTATACAGATAGCCCCTCCCTCCTGAGGCTCCTCCCACGCCCATTCCGTCTCTACAACAGCATGAATCACCTGTAAGTATACGGATATCCCCTCTCTCCTGAGTCTCCTCCCACACCCATTCCGTCTCTTTATCATGGAGCGCCACGCTGAGCTCCCCGTGCTGCGCAGCGGCTTCCCGCTAGCTGTCTATTTTGCACGTGCTAATGTGTACATGTCAGTGCTACTCTCTGTTTCATCCCACCCTCTCCTTCTTCTGCTGTGTTTGCAAGTCCGTTCTCTATATCTGCATCTCACACTGGTCAGAATGGCCCTCATCAAAAAATCTACAAACGGTAAGTGCTGGAGAGGATGTGGGGAAAAGGGAACACTCCTGCACTGTTGGTGGGAATATACATTGATCCAGCCACTACGGAAGACAGTATGGAGGTTCCTTAAGAAACTAGAAATAGAACTACAATATAACCCAGCAATCCCACTAGTGGCATATACCCTGAGAAAACCATAATTCAAAAAGACACATGCACTCCAATGATGCTTGATGTAAGTTTCTTAAAGGGGCCGCCATAATGTGTTTAATTGGATGTGACATCTTGTATTTGATCAACAAACTTACAATGTGTATGCATTAATTGTCTTTAATAAATTCTGGGTCTACAACCAATGAACAAATTAGACGTAATAATGGAGGGTGTACAGAAGAGGATGCAGAATTAAACATATTGTTACACACAAAATTATGAAAGGCAAAGAGATTTCTTTTTGTTTGTTTGTTTACTCACCTATTTATTTATTTTTCATTTATTTTTATTAGTTGGAGGCTAATTACTTTACAATAATGTAGTGGTTTTTGCCATACATTGACAGGAATCAGCCATGGATTTACATGTGTTCCCCATCCCGATCCCCCCTCCCGCCTCCCTCCTCATCCCATCCCTCTGGGTCTTCCCAGTGCACCAGCCCTGAGCACTTGTCTCATGCATCCAACCTGGGCTGGTGGTCTGTTTCACCCTTGATAGTATACTTGTTTCAATGCTGTTCTCTCAGAACATCCCACCCTCGCCTTCTCCCACTGAGTCCCAAAGTCTGTTCTGTACATCTGTGTCTCTTTTTCTGTTTTGCATATTGGGTTATCGTTACCATCTTTTTAAATTCCATATATATGCGTTAGTATACTGTATTGGTCTTTATCTTTCTGGCTTACTTCACTCTGTATAATGAGCTCCAGTTTCATCCATATACACAATGGAATATTACTCAGCCATTAAAAAGAATTCATTTGAATCAGTTCTAATGAGATGGATGAAACTGGAGCAAAGAGATTTCTGATGTCAAATAATTTGTTTTGCTTCCAGAGAACAAATTCTGGAGTCAACATGCTTGGGTCCAAATCCCAGCTTCCCTTCTTACCTCAGGGTCTGTTGAGACTGTCTGCTTCAAGTACCCCATCTGGAAAGTGGAAATAATAATATTAATAGTATCTACCTAGCTCCCATTCTGAAGAATATTACATTAGTTACTACACAGAAGCCATAAGAACAGTGAATAAGGATAGTATTTAACAAAAATTAACTGTTAATATTGTCATTCACAGAATCTGGCACCAGATTGAGAAAGAAACATACACTTTTGCTACATTTATCCAGAAAACATGGTATAAATGTAAGAAGAGATCGGTGAAGACCTTCCCTAAATCAAAAGAACATCTTTATCATGCTCTGCCACGATGATCACATTATTATCCCAAGACATTCACCTTTTCCCTTCAACTTTCCCTACTAATCCCTCCAGCTGATGACCATGGAGAATCAGAGCAATGTGTCCGAGTTCCTTCTCCTGGGGCTCCCCATCTGGCCAGAGCAGCAGGATGTGTTCTTCGCCTTGTTCCTGGGTGTGTACCTGATCACGGTGGTGGGGAACCTACTCATCGTTCTGCTCATCAGACTGGACTCTCGCCTCCACACCCCCATGTACTTCTTCCTCAGCCACTTGGCCCTCACTGATATTACTTTTTCATCTGTCACTGTCCCTAAAATGCTCATGATCATGCAGACTAAGCACAAATCCATCCCCTATGCAGGGTGCCTTTCACAGACGTACTTTTTCATACTCCTTGCTGATCTGGACAGCTTCCTGATCACTTCGATGGCCTATGACAGGTATGTGGCCATCTGCCACCCTCTGCATTATACCACCACCATGAGCCAGAGTGTCTGTGTCACGCTGGTGCTTGGATCCTGGGTCATTGCTTGTGCTTTTGCTCTTTGGCACACCCTTCTCCTAGCCCGGCTGTCGTTCTGTGCTGACAACGCTATCCCCTACTTCTTCTGTGATCTTGCTGCCCTGCTCAAATTGTCCTGCTCAGACACTTCCCTCAACCAGTTGGTAATCTTCACTGCAGGGTTAACAGCCATTATGCTTCCATTTGTGTGCATCCTGGTTTCTTATGGCCATATTTGGGCCACCATCCTCCGGGTACCCTCTGCCAAGGGCATCGGCAAAACCTTGTCCACATGTGGCTCTCATCTCTCAGTAGTGACTCTCTACTATGGGGCAATTATTGGTGTATATTTTCTTCCATCATCCAACAGCACCAATGACAGTAACATAATTGCTTCAGTGATGTACACGGTGGTCACTCCCATGTTGAACCCCTTTATTTATAGCCTGAGAAATAAAGACATGAAACGGGCCTTGAGAAAACTCTTGAGCAAGAGAACATATTCTTCCAACTGATATTTACCTTTCCTTTAAAAACAGTCCCTGTGATTCTATTTCCTCAATTACATGTAAATACAAATTATTGAAAATATGGCTCCCTTGTCTTCCTTTCTTAGCTGTCACTCAGAAATCTTTATTGACAGTATTCTTATACTTGTTGGGGAAAAAATAAGGGGGGATATGCTTTATAAAACTTAATTTGCTCTTTTCTTGGATAATGGGGATTGGAAAATACTTTGAGGATGCTATGTCACTTTGGCTGCTGCCATTAAATGGAAGCTGTCAGGGCTGGCCCTTCCCCAGATTTTAAAGTTTTATAAAATGTGCCTGAACATTCATATCCCCGTTTCTAAAGAATTTTCCATTTTGGTGAGAATATGGTTCCTCTTGCTCCCAGACACCTAGGCATCCAGAGACCCCGAGTCCTGCTAGAACTTGCAAGGAAAGAAAAATATTTTTTTTTTACTTTTTGGCCACACTGCAAAGCATGTGTGATCTTTTAAGTTTCCCAACCAGAGATCGAACCCACATCCCCTGCAGTGGAACCACCAGGGAAGTTCTCTACAACATATTCAATTTTTCTCTTCCCACATAATAAATGTACTTCTTTTGTTCTTCAGGAATAGAACCCACGCTTACTTTCTCCCAAGACCTTTGCAGATAATCAACAACAAAATAAATGTCACTTCTATTGTTTCAGGTGCCAGTCAAATAATTTACTATGTGATAAAATCTACTTTAATCCTGACAGCAACCCTCAGAGACATGTTGAGAAACTCAGGCTCAAAGAGGTGGCGAACACTTTAGGATCACAGTTAGTGAAAAGAAGGATTGAATCTTGGCTGTCTGACTCCAGAGTGGAGTCAGTGTTGTTATTGTTTAGTTGCTCAGTCATGTCTGACTCTTTCCAACACCATGAACTGTAACCCGCCAGGCTTCTCTGTCCATGGAATTCTCCAGGCAAGAATACTGGAGTGGGTTGCCATTTCCTTCTTCAGGGGATCTTCCTGACCCAGGGATCGAGTCTGCATCTCCTGCATTGGCATTGCCAAGGACTATAGTCATGTATATGGAACCCTGTGTCCTGGGGAGGAAGAATAGTTAGCTCAGCCTAGTGGCAGAGGATACATGAAAAGCTTCCTTGAGAAGATGTCACTTTACTTGAGACTTAACAAATCAGAACTATCCAGACAGACACATTCTAGCTCACTCTGATGATCACTGTTAGTGGGGGCAGTGTGTTTCAGGACAACAAACTGGCTATTTCAACTGAGGAACCAAGATCTGATAGACACCAGGTAACAAAGTGAGTTGTAAGACATAAAGTGAAGATGTTTATAGGAAATGTCCAGTAATCAATGTCATAACTCCTAAGATTCCCAAGCTAGAGGAAGGCTAAAGATATAGATTGTTAGATCTAAAAAGTGCTAAGAGGTGGGCATGAGAGGTTTTTGTAAAGATGTTTCTTTTGAAGAAAACGTTTATGTTACTTACAATTCAGAGGGTTGGTTGAGGCTTGGCTGATTCAGTTCAGAATGGTGATTTTTCTGGACATGGCAGGTCTCACTCATGCTTCTGTGGCCAGTTGCAGGTTGAAAAATGAAAGTGAAAGTCACTCAGTCGTGTCCGACTCTTTGAGACATGTATAGTCTATGGAATTCTTCAGGCCAGAATACTGGAGAATACTGGAGCCTTTCCCTTCTCCAGTAGATTTTCCCAACCCAGGGATCGAACCCAGGTCTCCCTCATTTCAGGCGGATTATTTACCAGCTGAGACACAAGGTTAGCTGATCTAAAATGGGCTCATTTTGGGTGGTTTTGAATCACACATCCCTCACCTTCTTACTAGGACTTGCAGCCTCCTACCCAACCCCACCTTTCCTTATGAACTACTAGATTGTCTGTTGTGAATTTAGCATCATCATCACCCACTTCTAAGTCTTCCCCTCCTTGTAGCAATGAGGTTGGAAACATTTTCAGATTTTTCCTTTCTGTATTGTTCAAGTTTAATGCTTTCTAATAAGAACTCATGAGAAATTTAGAAGGCAGAAAAGAAGAAGGCGTTACTTTCTGGAGGTAATTACATTACAGGCAGAAACAGGCATAAGTGAAATTCACAGAAATTTCCCAGTGGACTTCTAAGAGCTGCCTGCATGGCAGCAGCAGGTTGAGACATTTTGGGGAGCTTTTCAGTATTTTTTTAGATTTTTCAGCTACTACCCATCAAACTTTTAAAACCATCTATTTTACATTTTAGGTTGAAATCTTTAGTTGTCGCTATTTTAGTCTTCAAGGGTCACGCCTTTGACCTTCATTCTCCAGCTCTTGTAATAGTTGGCTAAGCAAGCCCCTTTGTTCTACTCTTCTGAGCAAATCCTTATGGAATACTTCGCATCAAAATTACCCATCATTTATCTGAGTCTATTTTTTGGTATAGAGATGAAATTGCCAGATTGGTATTTCAATTTTAGTCAGGGACATCTATTGCAGAGTAGTGAAGAAAGCATGAACCCTTTAAAAATTAAATTTTAGAAGTTCATTATTACTATGAAGAAACATTAAACTAAATATTTATTTCCTACTGCATTGAAAACAACTCCATGTGTTTTAAGAACTAAAGGCAGGGAATTCCCTGGCTGCCCAGTAGTTAGGGCTCCATACTCTCACTGCCCAGGGCCAGGGTTCGATCTCTGTCAGGGAACACGAACCACATGTCAGGGAACACATGTCAGGGAACATATATTTTATAGCCAAAAAATAGTAAGAACTAGAGGCAAAGTTTTTAATTTTTACATAAATGTGACACTATCTTTATGTACATGAGTCAGGGGAGTCCTTTCTTTGCTTTTTAAAAATTCAGATATATTTCATATAAACCACACTGAAAATCACACAATATACTACCAAATGCTACAACAAAACCCTACTGAGGCATGGATGTCCAAAGTGCTACAAAAACTGAAGCCTGTTCAATTGTTAGCAAGAAATATACTACTGATATTCTATTATTCTATTCTGATGACAGGTAGCTCAGGTTCTTGTGCTGTATTAACAAGTACAGGGGCATGGGTTTTACTCTAGACACTCAATTGCTGCTATTTTCCAAAGTCACGAACCTCCCCCGCACTCTGGACAGTGCCTTGTACATAACAGCTGTTAGTCATATGGTGTTTGTGTGTGTTCCGTTGATATTAATTGAAGTTTGAGTTTGAAAGACATTGTCACTGACAGTGCAGCACCATATCTGTCTTTTTTAAAATTATAGATCTTACAGTTTAAGAAAAGTTTTAGGTTTACAGCAAAATTGAGTGTAAAGCATGGAGTTCCTATATACCCCTGTCACAGCACACCCACAGCCCCCCGACTCCACCAGAGTGATATGTTTGTGACAGTCAGTTAACCCACATACCATAACTGTCTTGTTGTAGACTATTTTGCTAAACAACTCTACCCTGTACAAGGTAGACCCACCTAATGTTGAACCCACCTATAATAAATTGTATTAGAGGATATTACACTGGGGTTTTCCTACTATTTATGCACATTCATGATGCTGACAAGAAATCTGAGTCCACCTTTCTTCAGACCCTACATTTTTCTGATATCACATCCCTTTCTTGTTGTCTGTAAAATACAGTGGTTGCCATTTTCAAGGTGACTTTCTCAAGGAAGCACTTTAAAGTCAATAATGCAAATCATAAAATGATACATTAATGACTTTAATCACATTAAAATTAAAACATGGATAGAAAGTAAGAAGCAAAAGTAGCAAGCTTCCAATAATGGACAGCATTTAAAATATATACAAAATGACAAAGGATTAGTTTCAAGATTATATGAAGTCTATCTGTACTACAGTTTGCCTTTTCCAGCATCTTATATAGTTGGAATCCTACAGTATGTAGTCTTTTCAAACTGACTTCTTGGTACAACTATTTCAGAAGATTTAGCAGTGATAATTAAGTTGAACATAGACATCTACAATCCAATAATTCTTTTTCTGGGTATATAATTTACATAATCTCTTGCTTGTACACAATAAGTAATGCACAAAAATATTTGTTGCTACATTTTTCATAATAACATAATGCTTAAAATAAACAAAAAACCATAGAGAATAAAACAGATTAGTGTTTCTTTTATAAGAAATTATAAACAAAAGTATACAATGTGATGATTTGAAATACATATATATTGTGAAATAATTACCAAGATTAAGATAAGTAACACACCTATCACCTCCTTTAATTAATCTTTTCATGTGTGTAGTGATAATGCTTGTGAACTATCTTCAGAAACTTTCAAGTATGCAATGCCATGTTATTAACTAGCCATCACACTACACTTGGTTCTCAGAACTTATTTTTCTTCAAGCTAAAACTTTGAACCATTTGACCTACATTACCCACTTCTCTCTACACCCTGCCCCTGGTAACCACCATTCTATTCTCTGTTCCTATGAAATCAGCATTTAAAAATTTCCACATATAAGTGATACCATATAGTATTTGTTGTTGTCTGGTTTATCAAATTTTCACATTGTACACTCTAAATATATACAATTATATTTGTGAAAAAAAGATAGCCACAGAAAAAGAAATGTTTCAAAGAAAGCTTAAAAGGGATTTAAAAAATGTAACAGGAGGTTGCTTTAAAAGTAAAAATATAGTAATATGTTGAGAAGAAATTAAAGATAGAATTAACACTAGATTTCTAACTAAGGCCGGTCAAAAGATAAATTTTAAATGTATTATGGAATTAAACTAAAAATAAAATCTAAAACCAACCAGAAATAATATTTTTGTTATCTTGAGAAGGGGAAAATGCTTTGTTACATAAGGTCTGTAAATTATCCACACCCCCTCACCAAAATAGTGAGAGTTGTGACTACAAATTTTTTTTTCAATGTTTGTGGAACAATGGATACCACAGAAAAAAGGAGGGGGGAAGGAAATGGTAGTTGTGCAGGTATATTTGTAAAATCTTTCCCTCTCTATAATGAGCAAAAAATTAAA